TAGCAACCCAGCCAACCTGCTTTGGGTGCTGTTTTGGGAGCCCCAAAACTGGACGAGGTATTTGGGTGTGGTCCAAGGAACACTGAACTGAACAGGAGGATCTATTTGATCTACTGGCTACATTCTTGCTCAAAGAGCCCCAGGTGGTGCTGGCCTTTTAGACCTCTTGTGTTCAACGTGTATCTGTGAGGTTATTTCAACAGGTACGTGCTCAGTGCTGTTGGTTCGGGGAGCTGAGGTGGCCCCCTCGGCTCTGCTTCTCACCTCAACACCAGCAGCTGTGTGGAGGGAAAGGGGTTAATTCCTCCTGGCTTGTACATAACCCCACGCTTCCAGCTCAGTAGATGGAAAGAATGTGATTAAATTGGTGTTGATACCAAGTCTGACAACAGATGTGAGAGTGAATTGGCAGAGCCAGAATTCAGACGGGATGAAAATAGTAAAAGGGAGTGGGTGGAAACTGTCATACATTTGTGTTACAGGTGCTTGGTCTAGACCCCATTTTTTGCAGATGCCTATATTTTGCTTCTTACCAGTTCTTATCAATCTGGTTTCTCTTGTCAGCAGGGTGTTTTTCCCTCAGTGTTAATGTCCAGCAGTTCAAGCCTCCTGTTCCCTACCCTGAACACAACTGGGGTAAAAAGTTCGTTCACCTCCAAATAGGCAACAAGGTGTACATAATGCCAGTTTCCCTGCCTCTCCCACAAGACAAAACTTGAGCTTGTTTGCTCTCATTTATAGACAGGTAAACTGAGGCACGCAGTGCAAACGTTTTTAAAAACAACCAAAGAGAACAACCAACCGCTACAGGCTGTCCTTAGTTCCTTCACAGAAGCCCCTGGAAGGTTCTGCAGAGAGCAGAGCCCATGCTTGCGCTGGGCTTGGGCAATCCATGTTTCTCTCAGGACCTGTCTCTTCTCTTAGTTGTTGCCCCTTGTTTTCAATCTATCCATGGGGTTGGGTTTATTGGTTCTAGAGATTTTTTTTTATTTTTTTTTTTTCACTGGCTTTGATATCTGTCTTGTAACAGAGCAAATGCTTAAAATCAGCCTAGGCTGTCCATTGCAGTGTAACAGATGCACTTGTAACTCGGCCACAGGAACACAGCAAGCTTTTCCATCAAAGGGTGGGAAGACTCGTATGACTCGGACGTAAGATGAAGCCTTCAAAGGACCCACCACTCCTTACAGCGATTCGTGTCGGTCTTGCCACCACCCATTCCCTTGGTGGATTTTTCAGGATTTATGTCACCATGCCATGGAGCTAACAACACCCTTCTCAAAGTTTTACTCAGAAGTAATATCAGCTGTAGTCCGCGAAAAGCAGAGTACTGCGAATGTGGGTCTTGGCGGTGAGGAGAGAACAGACCATCAACCGAAAAATTTGGTATTGTGTCTGTTTGCAACTCTAACCTCCCCAGCAGTTTGTTCCACAAAACAACTAAGAATGAGGGTTTTGTGGATATTTACTTAAAGAGAGAGTGTGGGAAATCACTTCCAATTTACCTATGTAGCTGTAACGTAGCGTAGAAGCGTCGTCTTTGGGTAGAGAGACGAGGAAAATCCATTGTGCTTCCCACGGGGCAGACATACTGGTTTAGAAGGTCACTAAACGCTTGGGATTCCTCAATAGCTCCGCGCTGAGACGAGGAAGAAAGGGGACGCATGCCCCACGGAAATGCTCTTTATGCTCTCCGAAACGAACCTGACCAAGAGCAGAATAAAGGGAGGTTTTCAGCATGCCCGAAGAGCTGAATTCTGTTTGTATCATTCACAGGCACGTTCTGAGGATTGCTTTGGTCCAGGTTGTTGAATCCAAGAGTGTTTGTAGATCTTGCTCAGGAGAAATAGGTTGAAAACTGTTCAGCCTTTACAGGAAATATTACCGTGGTGAGGCTGAGTTCATGGATGACTGCTGCCATTTCTCTTTTTGGGGTAATTTCCCCGTGTGGTGTGGTGTTTTGTCATATATTCCTTAATTATAGGAGTACAAATTCCCTCTGTATGAGTAATTTTATGTATAATGCTTATTGTTATATTAGAATGCAGATGGTTCACCTTTGGGCAAAACAACAGAAAAATACAGGTTACAGAGGAAAAAAAATTAATGAAAAAGTTACAAAACCCACCAGGAGTATGAACAAGGAATGTCCTACGGTTAAGGTACCCAGAGGAGTCAGGAAACCTCAGATTTCTTCCCAAATCTGATCCATGCTTCTTCAGGAGCTTTCTGATTTCCAGGTGTCTTTAGCTTTTATTTATAAAGCAAAGATTACGATATTTCCCACCTCGTGGATTTATTGAGATTAACTGAATTCTTGATTCTAAAGCGTGTTATAAGAAAGTATTACAAAGAATGGTTCTAGCATACATGGGTTTTTATATTATCTTACAAAACTAAAGACAGTGATAAGAAGTGTGGTGGGAAATAAAACAAAATCTTCAGTCCATTAAAACAATTAATCTATAAGGAAGACAGCCTCTCAATTTTGTAATTCGCAAACATTCTCTTTAATAATCTAGTGTCAAAGTCCAAAGAATGTCTGCATGTGCACCTCCTCTGTATGCCAAGCTAGCTGAGGCAGTAATTCTGAAATACGGACAGGTCTATATTGAAAGGAAAGGACTGTCTCTGCTGAGATATTGTGTTGGAAAACATGTAGCTCATTCTGTTAGATTTTTTTAGCCAATGCCTGGTTTTATTTTTTATTTTTTCCTTTCCTGTTAGTGCTGTAATTCATGTTAGCTGTTATCCTTCAGCTGTCTGATTCTCATCCATAATATTTCTAGCTAATGTTAATTTTTGTCCTACAACAGCTCTTCCCCATCCTGCACATCTGGGATGTGCAGGCACCTTCATTGCTTTAAGACTCTGGCTCTGACTCAGTCAGGCATTTCAACATCAGATTTTCCTGCTGCTTACGCCTTCTAAACTCTTCAATGCGTTTAAGTGGCCTCAAACGTGATTCTGCTGCACAGCTGAGCCTGCAGCAAATCCTCAGAATCAACCGGCCTGAAAGCTGGGAGCCTGAAATTTGTCTCTCAGTGTTGCTGCCTTGGGCCCCATCTCCTGTGTTGCAGACAGTTGGGCTCGGGGAGAAAATAATGGGTCTAGCTGCTTACACAAAGTCCCTTCTTCACTCTCTCCTATTTGATCTGATCCTATTTATACAACTGAAGAAATAGTTTTAGAAGTGTTTCAGCCTTTGCTGCTGATTAAGTATGGGCTGAATTTTCCCTTCCTTCCTCTTGTCTTCTAAAAAAAAACTAATAAGAATAAACAAAAAAAAAAACACAACAAAAACTGACGGTCGAGTATTAAGCATTTCTGATCAAATGGAGAAATTTGATGTACGCTAGGTCAGTTATTACACACGCAGATTCAGTTTGCGCTATTGCCATTTAAGCTCTTGGGTCACCCTTGATGGTGCGCCATGTTTTAAAGTGACCATGAGTAGACTGAAAAAACCACCCTTGTGTTTTCCCCAATAACTTGTCAGTAGGGAACAGGTGGTTTGGAATGTACTTTGGACAACAAGTGAAATTTTGAGGAAAATTTAGATGATTGTAGTTCCTTGGAATTGCATAAAATTATCCACTGTTGAATCAATTATATGCACATACACGCCCTCTCCCACAGAAGAGGCTGGATCAGGCCATCTACATTATTTGATATTATTATGTTGGTTGTAAAATAAAATGCAATTGACACGGGACATTTCTGGGTTTATTTGCCATATGTGGCACACAAAGACAAATGATAGGTTATTTCTGCATTTTTATTTCAAGTATGTTACACACAGTTATATGTAAAAAATTGATTATAAAAAAGCAAATGTGGTATTAATTTTCTGTGCTCTGAGTAAATTGCGTATCTCTTGTAACCGTTCGTATGGTCAGGAGACCCTCAGACTCCACCAATGGAAACATCCACTCTGCTCACAGAGGCACTACTGAGTGATGCATGGTGCTTTCCTCCCTTCAGCACTTCAAAATTAGTCAAAGGGTTATGGAAAGAGTTACCTTGTCACAGCCTGGAATTTCAGACTGCATTAAAAATCCTCATGTTTAAATCTTGAGAGATTTTTATATATATATGTTATATATATATATATATTTAGTTTGTGTTCTGGAAATTCATGTATTTTGGCTCAATGTGGCATAAACACCCACAGTCACTCTAGACTCCTCTTCCTTCACCCTCTGCCCCAGCAGCCAATAAGGGATGTTCCTTGATTTCAGATTCCAGAATCTCTCTTGCTTTCTTTGGCCCAAGAGGGCAAGTCTTCTCTCCCTTGCCTGAGTTCAGCTTTTCTCGTGTCCTTGTTTCAGATGTGCTACATGTTGTCGATACCCAAAGCAGGTGCTCATATGTCTTGTCTCCAATTCCTGTATCTCACGGCTGATTCCGTGCATCCTAAAGCCATGGATGGTTAATTTTTCGCCAGCCATGGCTTTGGTTATCGCTCATGTAACTTGACTGACATAGGTGCTACCTGCATTTGGCTTCAGGCTTTACAAACTGCAAAATGAGTCAGCATTACATGTCTGTAGTATCTCTTAGCTTTCCAAACTGCAACACTTGTGGTGTTTGTTTTCGAAAGACGGGAGCCATCAGTTCAGTGAAGAGCTTAATTTCCCAGCTTTGCGCTGCCACGTCCTCCTTATAACCTGGTCTTCATGTCACAGGAGCTCAGAATGAGAGGACTGCACTGTAGAGTGAAATGAAGTTGATACCAATTTCATAAGAGCTTTGTAACATGCTTGTGTAGCTGCAGTGGTATTTCTTAGCTGCCTATCAACACCCAGAAGTTACTGTAGTGCATAAAAGTGCTTTTTAGAGGCTTGTCCAGCGCAAGCAGATCATGGACAGGTTACCTATACTTTCCGGTTACCTATACTGAAGAGGCCATATATTATCATTCCTTTCCTCCCCGTACCACTCAGCCATCCAGCTCGTCTCGTGTTTACTGGTGAGCCCACGGTGCTGTCAACGCCAGCTTAGAGGGAACTTGAAGTCAGCCCATTTTTGCAAGCACTGTCGCTTCTTAAATCCTGGAAAGTTGTCATTTCGTGTACATTGATGATGTTGAGCATGTGTTTCATATCTGGTCTGTTTTTTTGATAATTGGGAGGCATACTCTCTTTTCTTAGACATGTCTAAAAGAAAACAGAAAAGAAAGTTTAAAACTGAGACTTCCAATGGGAGTCTTTTTTCATTTTTAAGTTTGAAAATGTTGCTTATTCTCCTTGCTAACCGTACATTACACCTTTTCCAATTATTTGTCACCAGAAGCACACAGTACAAAGACAAGCTGTCGCTTCTTCGTCGGTCGAGGAGTTCCATAGGACAAAAGCCAAAATTTTCCAAAGTCACAAAAGGAAATTTATATTTAGTTCAATTTTTCATACAGCGAGGCCTTGCATCAAGCAAGTGTGTTTGCACCTGCCTTTGATGCAGGTCAGTGCCCAAAATGCTTCATCAAGTTTCCAAAGCAAAGCCCCACTCCTGACACCAGTCTCAAGCTTAATGCTGCTGCTGAGTTTAGGGACTGAGAATAGACACTAGAGGTGAGAACGAGGCGACCTGTAAGAATTTAACAGGCGTTTTAGATAACAAAGCTCACTTGCAAGATCAGGGCAGTATTAAAATTTGGTAAAAGCTGGGTTGATACCTGAGACTGGACCTCACCCAAGAGTAAGCTCCACGTAAATTCCACCAGACTGGCTTTTTTCACTGCATGGCTCTGCTTTTTTTTTTTTTTTTAACTGTACCGCTAAAACTGGGGCTTTCTTTTTTTTTTTTTAAATGCGTGGGAAGGAGAGGTTTCTTTAGAGATCTGAGATTCTTTCAGGACACTGAGCAGAACAGGGGCATCTGTCTCTTCTGAGTGATATCCTTGCTTTCATACTTTCCTCCTAACAAATTCCTACAAGATTTATCTTGTCAAACTTTAGTCTGAACGGCACAAATTACTGGCAGGATTGTCAATCTAAGAAAGAGACAGGCATAAATTTAATTGCTCCCTGAAGATACATGAAAAGCTACATTTAGCTGCAGCTAATTAGATATTCTCCAATCAACAGTTATGATTCATCTGCTGAGGAACAAAACAAGAAGGCAAATATGAAATAGGCAGCAAAAGTTAAATCTGACTTCCCAAAACGTTGGGGCTGGATTTGTTTTCTTTTTAATTAGAAATGTGGCTGGTGTTGCACTGTACCAAGACCTGAGGTTCACGCTGCTTTTAAGCCCAGAGGCAGTGACCTCCTGGTTTGGTTTTGGTGGTGTTGTTAGTTTTGGGAGGGGTTAGTTTTGTTTGGGATTTTTGTTTGCTTGTTTGTTGGTGGGGTTTTGTGTGTTTTTTGGTTTGTTTTTGTGGACATGTAAAATGTCGAAAGGTGGACCTGTACTTGTCCATCATGCAATGCCACGGGTGGGGAAGGGATCCCAGTGCCTCTATCTCAGGCATATGCTGTTCCCAAGTACCAAACCAGAAAAGCTCTTGAAGTGCCCTTAAACTGAGGAGTAACTTACATTCAGAGTAACTCGGAGCAGAAATGGGCAGCGGGATGCAAGAAAATAACTCTGCTTTGAGTTAGATCAAGGTGCAGTGAAATGTTTGATTTCTTTAGGACTCCATCCTGTGCTCCTCGTGCACCTGAGTTTCCTCTGGCTTTGAAAATACCATGTGTTTAAAAGATTTGGTCATAAATTACATATGAACATTGACTTCTGACTGGCTGGGTTAAGTAGTGCTAGCAGAGAAAATGAGGGGTTTATTGTTGGTTTGTTTATGAGAAAGGGAATAACTTACGCAGGTGAAAAAGATGAGCAGCAAGTAAAATATCCCAAGGCAAGTCAGCATGAAAAGCTCAGCTTTGTATTTTTTTAATTTTTCTTCCTCTATTCCAGGGCAACCTAAAACGTAAAGCAAGGTGTTACATTGCTCTGGTGTTTGCAAAACATTTTTAAACCGCCAGCTTTATGAAGTACCAAGCGGAGCACAGGCCAGTCCAGAGTTTCTACTGTACCTGTTACTTTTAGCATGACCGTGCTGCTCAGGTTGCCCTCTCCACTCTGCTCCCCCAAAGTGCATTTATATGTCCCGCTGTTTCGGCTTGTCGTGTTTTTGATCCTCAGTGAGAAGAAGGTGTCATTGGAGAGCTCCAGGGACCCCCCGAGTTCTTTTGGATAATGAGATTCCACATCAAGGACTTCCCATGCTATTCCTTCGCCATTGCCAGCCATCTGGAAAACACAAATATATTGCTTGTCCTGGGCAGCAATGTCAGCTCTAGTTTTAGGGGAAAGTTTTAAAGCCAGCTTATGGCTGAAAATGAGGAGGCTGAAGAGAGGCAGAGGAGAACCTCAAAAACATCTAATACATTCATGCTTGCAGTCAAAAGGTATTTGCTTTCTTTCTTAAACAGACACTCTATTTGTGAATAAATACTATAGAGCTATTCTGTAAGAGCTTCTTACTCTGCCTCACCTGGGCCCAATGCTGGTAGACATGCAACCTGATAAAAGGCAGCAGCAGAGTTTGCTCTTAAAGCAACGCAGAGGCCCCAAAAGAGCTGAGAGCGAGGCAGCTCACAGGGATGGAGCTGAGGCAACCATACCCAGGTCCTTGACGGTGCCCCTGGGCACCAGAGGTCCCCAGGAGAGCATGGCAGCAGTCATGTAGGCTCCGCCGCTGCCAGATCTCACCCTGCCAGCGCACTTTCTGCTGTGCCTTGACGGGAATTACACCTGCCTATCCAGATTAAATCATATTCCCAGCGACCTCACAGCCCCCAGCTTCTTGTGGGAACTCAGCCCTGGAAACTGCGCTTCTCCATGCTGACCCCCCATGGAACCACGGTGTGTCCCTGGAGGACCAGGGGAGGGTTCTTTCCCCTGCTCCTCTTTGTTGGAACCAAAGAACAAAAAGGAAATTGCTTCGCCTCCTTCAGATTCAGTTGTGTGAAGGTCACAAGCAGGTTCCTGTGTGCTTGGCGAGCATCTGTGTGTTGAATTTCTTAGCTGTAACCAGAAGAGCTGCATTCCCTGGCTTTACTGAGAGGCTGCTGGAGGAATGAAGTGTATTCCCAGCACAGTTTGTACTGCAGGGTGATAGGATGCACCGAAAATGACAATTGGCTGGGAACCACAAAGACGAGAGAAATCACTAACTTGATTTGAAAGATGGGAGAAGGGTTTGAATTAGCCCGTGTCCATTCTTATTCATCGACGGTGCTCTTCGGGATTCAAGGCAGCGTGCCCGCCACGAGGGTTTCCTGAGTAATGAATTCAGTCTTTTCTGTGGAACAGTAAAGCCAGAGCCAGCTCGTACAGCCCGAGGCTCAGCTTTTCAGCCAAACCTATAGCTACTGTAAGCCAAGGCTTTTTAAATTGTTACTATTTTATTATAATAGACATATTTTGGGGTTGCATGTTGGTGCTTACTTTCCCCCAGTATAGCTACTGCATTAGGATGTAACAGTTACACTGTAAGTTCTAAAAATTAACAATTTTCTCATACTGAGGCTAGGAGTATCCAGTTTCCCTTTCATGTATTTGCATGAGGAAAGTGTACTTGGAGTCTGGAGAGAAATATGGTCCTGATGGTCCGTTACACTTTGCTTGTTTTGCAGCCTTAAAATGGTGCAAAACAAGCTGCAAGTTGGGGAACTTTTCAGGAACTGGGGAATTGGACTAAAGCATAATATTTTCATAACTGTAAATTGTACACTTTTCTCAGAAAGAGTTGATGTGTGGTTTGGATTTTTTGTTGGATTTTTTTGTTGGTTTTTTTTTTAGTACATCAACTGAAACGCAGACCAGTAATTCCCTGGGGCTTTCCACACTTTACCCAGCAAGAGGGAAGAAAGTACTTTCTTCCTCTTAAGCCCCCAGTAACAATATCTACAGTGGTTTTCAGGCTGTAGGGACTTCACTGTGCTACAGGGATTTAGATATTTTTGGGCCCCGCACGCTGTCAAAGATGTGGTCAGAGGAATTCCAATACCCAGGCTGGGCTCAGCTCTGGTTACAAGTGGGTCAATAGCAGTTAAGTGGATAGGGTTGACCTCCCTCAGATCTAATTTTTGCCGTTCTCCCTTCCCTTACCACCCCATTCCTCAGTGAAATTTAAAACTGCCCACAGGGCAATAAAGAGAACCTGGCTGGATGCCCTTCACATTGCCCTGAAATGCAGAGAAGAGGGCTGAGCTATGCACAGAAAATTACTTTTGATTTGCTTTTTTTTTTCTGTTTTCCTGGGGTTTTTTTCTTTTTTAATTCACTGGTAGCATAAATAATTACTATCTTGGGTGGTAAATGGTGCTGTGATTCTTGTGGCTGAGACTTGGGAATCAAAAAACACTTTGATCTTTCTCTATGCAATTGTAATCACCGCTGCTAGTATAAGGGAGAAGTCAATTAAGTCCATCCTATGCCTGCCCATGTGCTTGCTCCCAGTGAGTTTTTTGGTAAATGATTTAACTTCCTTGTTTTATGAGGGATGGGATTGGTTACTGCCTCCAGCACTTTTCGAGGAGCTCGGTTCCAGTCACAAATAAAGTGAGGGTGACCCTGGAGACCGCCAAGTCAGAACTTTGCCTTACACAAACCCGTGCCGTGTAGATGCACTAACAACGGTCTTCAAAATAGAAGGGGGAAAAAAAGAAAAAAAGCGCCTTTGTGCTCTAATCTGGCTCCCTCACTTGTGGAGAAACCCCACGGGAGCTGAATGGGGGTCGCCAACCTTTGCGTCGGGTTTGGAGGACCGGCTGTTACGTGTGGGTTCGATTTGGGGTGTTCATAATTCCCTCTCTGCATTAAACCTGCCCTCCCACGAGGAGCAGAGGCAGGACAGCCCGTGGTGTCGATGTGCCCAGCAGCCTCCCTCCATTTTTTAGACTGCAGAGACATCTGGTGGCATTTTTCCAGCCTTTACAGTCCATCTCTACTCAGAGGTCACAACAACCCTGAACCAAGCCTTTTTTTTTTTCTGCTGCAATCTTATATTCTACTGCCTTATAAAAAAAAAAATCATCAGCCCCTCCCTTTTAAAATTCTCTAAGTGGCAAGGAAACAGCTGAACAAATTTGAGGAATGTGTCCACATATCCTCGCTCTGAAGAGGGATGTCTGCGAGATGTTCGGTAAGGTCATCGTCCTGCCTCCTGCTCTATTCAGGCTAACCTCTTTTCCCCCAGAACTTAATTAAAATTACAAAAATGCTGCTGTGTTTGTCACCTCCTGTGAATTACTTGGCAGACTCTCACCAGCCAGATCGTTTTGCAGCTCAAGCTCCTGTGACAATCCAGCGCTACTTCGTGCCAAGTGTCCTCCAGGTGATACCACAGCCCAAGGTGAATGCTAGGGGGTTTACCTAATTAATTCCACACAAGCTTACAGGGGTCAAAGTGAAAGCAATCCCTTGTGTAGGGACCACCCTCTTCTTTAATCAGCCACGACAAATTTTTCCACTCACGTTTCGTTTCCCTTCTGCCGTGCGAAGGGAGCTGCAGCGTGCTCCTCACCACCAACAGGAGGGAAGGGAGGGTGGTCTTCTCCTCTCCCCTTTGCTGTTAATGGCTTTACCAAAATTCAGAAGGCAAACCATGACTCATGTGGGGACAGGTAGAAATGCTACCGACTCTTATTGCATTAAAAGGATCTCATTGCCATACTGGGGGTTACTGAAGCAAGAATTTTGCTGGGAAACAGGGACTTGGGCTGGCAGCACCACTCTGCCTCTCTGCACAAAACTGCCCATTAAATAAATTAACCAACAAATGAAATGTGAGTTTATGTTTACTGTCACATATACATCAGCCAGCAGCAATGTCTGTGACAGGATTTTTCAGGAATCAGCTTTGGGGGGAGGAAATCTGTTGTTTTCTGTCACCTCCACAGCAGGGAGAGCAAATGCTACCCCTCAGAGGCTGGTACCGTCCAACACCTCCATTTGTGACCTGGACACTGGGACAAGTCTGCAGGTGATCCAAAGCTGGGAGGAGTGTCCGATACACCAGAGGGTCACGATGTTGTCCAGAGGGACCTCCCCAGACTGGGGACATGGGCTGAGAGGAGCCTCATGAAGTTCAACAAATGGAAATGCCAAGTCCTGCCCCAGGCACCAGGACAGGCTAGGGGTGACCAGCTGGAAAGGTCCTGATGGACACCAAGTTGCCCATGAGCCAGCAATGAGCTTTTTTTTACCAGGAACAACCTACTGGGCTGTGCTGAGCAGAACATCTCCAGCAGATTGAGGGAAGTGATCCTTCCTCTCTGCTTAGTCCTGGAGAGATGCACCCAGAGTGCTGAGTCTGGTGCTGGGCTCCCCAGTACGAGAGAGACAGAGATGTCCTGGAGAGGGTCCAGTGAAGGATCATGAAGATGATTAAAAGATGTGGAGCATCTGACATATGAGGAAAGGCTGAGCAAGCTGGAGATGTTCAGACCAGGCGCAGGGGCATTTTATCAATGCACACATGACTGCTAGGGGAAAAAAAGAAGATGAAGCCAGACTCTTCTCTGGCTCCAGAGACAAGACAAGAGGCAATGGACATGAACTGAAATTCAGAAAATTCCATTTAAACATAAGAAAAAGCCTTTTTTTGCTGGAGGAGTGGTTGAACTCTGTTATGGGGAGTATCCATCCTTGGAGATGCTTGAAATCTGACTGGACACAGCCCTGAGCAACTAGCTCTAGTTGTCTTATTTTAGTGAGTTTAATTGAAAGTTATTCTTGCTCTCAAAAGCTTAGAAGCATTTGGTCTAAAGCCGTTGCAATTTTCCCACACATATTCTCTAGTCAATTGACTGATCCCTGTTCAGTTTCTCCTGGCCTGGACCTTTTTGGTCAGAATAATGGTGGTGATATGGTAGATATTAAAATGGAGTAGATTTGACTGAAAATGCTGCTGAGCTGACATGCTTCTGTTGTTTGATTGGCTGAACTACTAGAAATAGATAGAATAATCAGGCCTCCAAAATGTTAAGTGTTCTTCAGCAAATGCTTCTTTTTCAGAGAACTAAAACCAAGGTGTAAGAAGGAGGAGGAATGCTTTTCTCAGTCCTAGCTCGCTGCATTTCAGCTGCAGTTCTGAAAATTGCTGCAGCATTACTGTATTGGGTTGGCTCAGCTGGATTTTG